TATTGCGAGACGCAAGCAACTTCTTGCTGTCCGGGAAGATGAATGCCCGTCAGGGAGCAAAATGGACGAAAATGGGTACAAGTGCCCGCACGGGCAGGCATCCGTTCGCTATGGCTGCACCTGACCAAGAATACGGGGAGCAAAATTGCCCGGGAACGGATTCCCCGACATGGACCACAGAGACCCCGACGAACACTAGTACACTAGTCACCAAACAAATATGGCTGCGAAACAAGTACGGTAGTGGGCGGAGCTTCGATTGACAGTCAAACGCGTGCAAATGATCACATGCCCCGCCCACCACCGCACACACGCCCTAAAAGCCGAGTCATTGCGTGTTAACCCGATACGTATGCTTATTATAAATGGTACTGAATAACAATAATCACAATAAATAATATTAATAATAATAATAATAATAATAATAATAATAATAAATAATCAATAACAATAAAAATATAAAAATTAACCTGATGAAGCAACGGGCTAGTTCCACCACATAAAATATTCTGTGCATTCATTTTAGCACTCAAATAACGAACATTCCCATACTTCTTACTATCATTTACATTTATATTACTATTATTATTACTTCCATTATCAGTACTATCATTACTATCACTATTACTGTTACCGTTATCACCACACACCAACGGCTTTATCAACGAGCTCGAGTCAAGATGCCACAACCCTAATGGCACGTCCCCTCCACAGACCTTAATTTAAAAATTACTTTCATCAGTCCATAACAACAATAATAGCACAATATAACGTTAAACAATAATCGATCATAAACCCAAATCAAAAACAAACAATAAAAAATATCTCTCCCCCCCCCCCACAGCCCCACAGAAAAATCACTCACCATCAGAGAGCCTTCAGCCGCCAAAGCGCATACCCCTTTGCCCCGGTGTGGCTCTCCTTCCTGCTTCAACTCTCTGTTCTGCCACACCTCAATCACCCTCGACGAAGATCCCTTAGTCCTCAAGTCCCACACCCGTACAGTGCCATCTTCCGATGCACTGATCAGTTCATTTTCAGATCGTGCAACCAGCTCATTCACGTGCGATCGATGACCACTGAGCACCGAGATCACCTGCAATCTCCACCCTTTAATGGCCACCACCACTCTCTTATTTACCAAATTTACAATTCCCGAGACAACCCACCCAACCTGCAGCTACCATTTTGGGCCAGCACGCAGCTATTTGCTGCTTGGACAACCCCTGATCTAACCGGAACGACTAAAATCAAACCTGGCCGCTCCTAGTCAATCTCAATCGTCCACAGTCAATCTGGACCGCCCACCTCTAGCCAAGCTGGACCATACCTATTGGCTGTTTAGACCGATACCGATTCCTATCCATTTCACCAGTCTGCTAAGATCGTGACTGGTCAATCTGCTTGAAGACACTTTGCTTAACGACAGTTTGCCTAAAGACACATTGCCTAACGGACAGTTTGCCTGACGTTAATTTTGACTAACGGACATTTTACCTAATGACAGATTGTCTAACGGACAGTTGCCTAACGGACAATTCAATTCGCCTAACGGACAATTTGCCTATTAGGCGAAATATCCATTAAAAACCGCAAGTTAGGCAAACTGTCCGTTAGGCAAATTGTCCGTTTGGCAAATTGTCCGTTTGGCAAACTGTCCGTTAGACAAACTGTCCGTTAGGCAATGTGTCTTTAGGCAAACTGTCCTTAAGCAAAATGTCTTTAGCCAAATTGACCGGGTACCTCCCCGACTTGCTACCAATACCACGAGGATAGTAATCTCCAGCTAACCGCCAGCGGAATCTCCCCCTCTCTCACCGTATGCCTACCTACAAATGCTCCCATAAAATGCCCCTCCTCTGCGCTCCCAACTAACAACCCCGAGGACGTACCTTATCAAATCGCTCCGCATCCACCACCCTTATGCCGAAATCCATCGCACCCGCGTACGCCACTTTAGCAGTCTCGTCTCCATCCCGCAGCTTCACTATCGTATTCACCTCACCAGCACCATTGCCCCCCATCAACACATCACCACCACTGGACAGTGCATCCCCACCTGGCACCGTAAACGCAAACTCCGGCTTCATGTCGACCTCAGCCACGCCCGATTGAGACGTGCTGCCGCTCCCGTGTGACCCTTGAGAGCCCACACGCACTAAGCTCTTCCACGAATAACCCAAAATTTGCCCATTCTCAGTACCACACAGCAAAATGTTCGGTGTCAAATGGCACAGTGATGTGACCGGG